TACTGATGTTACTGATGGTACTGATGTTACTGCTGCTGCTGCTTTAAATGGTGGGTGGCTGGTGTTGAACTGAGTCGTTGTGTTTTGGTTCCCAGGGTTTGATGAGTACTTCACGGGCCTCACCCTGGAGAACAATCGCAGGAACGTGTGGTTTGCTGAGTTCTGGGAGGAGAACTTTGACTGCAGGCTGCTCAGCTCCTCTAAGAGGGAGGACAGCAGCCGTAAGTGCACAGGTAGGTGTGGCCGAGCGGACGCCCCATCAGCCTCACTGAGTGACCTTGACCTGAGTGACCTTTGTCCACGGGGCCGGTGTCTGGCAGCCTCAGGTGTTAGTGGCCAGCAGGGGCAGCAGAGAGAGGGTATTATTAGAATGAGTGAAGACCACGTGACCACAGTCTACAACAGTGACCGTCTGTTTCCCTAGAATCTCCTGCCTTCATCCAGTCAGCTGACACACACACACACACACACACACACACACACACACACTCTCTCTCTCTCGGTGTGTGTACGCTGTAGTAATTACTTTAGAGTACTCCGTATTTTCACAGGTTATTACACCGGGGAGTTGTCAACAACATGAATAAACAGGGTGTTAGCTCTACGTAGCTTTAGCGACAGCTAACACTACAGCGTTTTGACTGGTGTTAGACTGTGTTCTCTACCAACAGTAGGTGGCGCCTGTGATTAGTGACACCGTACGATTGTCTTCTTACTGTACATGTGGTGACAGAAAAACCAGTGCAGCTCCAGGATCTACTTCCTGTGTGGACATCAGGGACAGGAGACACTGGTGTGTCCTCGGTCTGTGGACATCAGGGACAGGAGACACTGGTGTGGAGTGGATGTGGAGCGAGTCCATGAAACCACAGCTACAATCCCTAGATATATTTCTGTTGTATTTTAAACCCACAGTCTGTTCATTTGTCTTTTCACAATGTAGGGCAGCAGCTACACAAACTACACAAACTACACAAACTACACAAACTACACCAACATTTCTGCACAGCTAAGCAGTAGGACTAATTCATAATGTTGGCCATCTGGAGAAAACTGTTCAATATATATAGAATATATTTATGCGGTAATGCTGTTAGCATTAGCTAAAGCAGTCCTGGTACAGACACCAGAGCTAACATCAAATGTTCTTCTGCCGCACCGTCTCCTGGGCTGGAAGTCCTTCAGATGTTCACAGGAACAGGAACCAAATAGAAAAGTACCTGGAGATCCTGTTTTTTTTTTTTTTTTCTCAGGTCAGGAGCGCATCGGAGTCCACTCCAAGTACGAGCAGGAAGGAAAGGTCCAGTTTGTGATCGACGCGGTGTACGCCATGGCCCACGCGCTCCACCACATGCACAAGGACCTCTGTCCAGACCACCTGGGCATCTGCCCACAGATGGAGTCTGCCGAGGGAAAAGTTCTGCTCAAGTACATACGGAACATCAACTTCAACGGTAAGATGACCTGGTCATGCTGTGCACCTGACCTTTGACCTGTTAACACTGGTTGGTTGTTGATGTTCTACGTGTTCAGTACCAGTACTGGGTTGGTTCTTCAGGCACCTGTGGTTCCTGTCACTGTTTGGTCACTTTTCTGAACAGGTTTAGTTCAACGTTGGATCAGACTGGAAGATGCTTCATTTTTGAAGGTTAAATCACAGGTCAAAGGTCAACATTTGATGAGGAGACGTCCAGGATGACAGGAAGCTTCTCGTCTGCAGCTCCGTCTGTCTCCAGGTTCACGGTGTCTTCACAGAATGTTCCGGTTAAATTTGGCTGTTTAAAATAAGAAGTGTGAAATGTTCTGTGAGAACGGCTGGAGTTCTACAGCAGTCTGAGGGAACGGAACCTCACGAGACTTCATCTTCATCTTCATCTTCATCATCATCATCATCATCATCATCTCAACAACCCTCTGTCACTGGGGGGGGGGTCACCTCCATGACAACAGGAGCCCCGCCCTGAATAAAGTCTCCACCTCAGCCGTCTTTCATAGATGGTCTGTCCTCCTCCACCTGCCTTCTCACCCTCTGATTGGTCTCTGACAGGATGATGTCATCGCTGCTCTGATGACATTTCAGCTGGAACCACAACACAAGTGGGGGGGAGTGGGGGGAGGGTGTCCTATGTTTGTCTCCTCTCTGTGCTCAAGACGTAGAACTGAGGAGTGAGAGAGCACACAGTACACACAGTACACACAGTACACACAGTACACACAGTACACACAGTACACACAGTACACACAGTACTCAGATTTGTTAAATATTACTTTGACTCTACTCTAGTATTGACTAAAGGAACTGAAGTAACAAAAACCCAGGATGTTATAAAGAAGAAGAAGAAGAAGACGTGTGCTCCAGCCCAGACTTCCTGCTCCTCCTCCTCCTCCTGCTCCTCCTGCTCCTCCTGCTCCTCCTGCTCCTCCTGCTCCTCCTGCTCCTCCTCCTTTGACTCCAGCCTTTTCTGGAATGTCCTTGGAATAAACAGGCTGAAGTGAAGAGAGTGGAGGAGGTGAAACTCCCATCAGGCAGAGAATGAATGAGAAGGTGGAGCGTCCGTCCGTCCATCCGTCCATCTGTGCGTCCGTCCGTCCGTCCAGTGTCGGGCCGTGCACCGCTGCTCCTCCCTCTCTACCGTTTATAGCTTCACCCGTTAAAGGCCTCCATCCCCAGGTGCTGCATTATCACACGGCTT